GGGTAAAGCTGATTGGTGTTTCCTGTGAGGAAAAGAGGACTGGGATAATTGAGGGTGATTTCTTCCCACAGGCTGGTGACTGAGAAGTGAATTGAAATTTGAGGCTTAGTCTCCTCTTGATTTTCTTCCAAGAACGGTGTGATTTTGGGGGTCTGTTTCTCATTCAATACTGTCATTGACTTTTGTGCAGGAACTGTGGAAGAATCTACATCAAATCATGGGGAGTATCGGAAAAAAATGTTTTAGTGTACCATAGGCTTTCTCAGTTGACATGAACTGTGCCTGTGCTAGGTGATAGAACTTTCTTATGTTGCCAGTGGTTGAAGAGCCTGCTCCTGCACTTCACCAGAGCCCCCTTCACCTCCCTGTTCCTCAGGCTGTAGATGAATGGGTTAAGCATGGGGGTGATGACGGTATAGATGATGGAGGCCACCTTATCCAGGCTCCTGTGGCTAGAAGGAGGTTGTAGGTACATGAAGAATCCTGTCCCAAAGTACATAGAAACAGCCACCAAATGGGAGGCACAGGTGTGGAAGGCTCTGTCCCTGCTCTGTGCTGAGCACATCCTCAGCACGGTGCGCAGGATAGAGATGTAGGAGAGCAAAATGATCATGCTTGTGCCCACCACGTTGATGGTGATGAAAGCAAAGATGACCATCTCACTGCTGTGAGTGTCGGAGCACACGAGCTTCAGCACAGGAACTTCGTCACAGAAGAAGTGATCAATGCTGTTGGGACCACAGAAGGAACCTCCAAACACGCACCATGTGTAGATGATGGCACTGAGGAAGGCGAATAGGTAGGATGATGCTACCAGCTGCCAGCAGATGCGGCTGGAGATGATGGTCACATAAAGCAGGGGCTGGCAGATAGCAACGTGCCGGTCATAGGCCATCATGGCCAGGAGGTGACACTCAATAGTACTAAAAAAAGCAAAGGTGAGGAACTGCATCATGCAGGCAGTGAAAGAAATGGTTTTGTCCTCTGATAACAGGTCTGCCAGCATCCTGGGGGAGATGACTGGTGAGGCAATACATGGGGGTGTGGAGGATGGTGATCCCAAAGTTCCCCACCAAAGTGACAATGTAAATCAATAGAAACAAGACAAAAAGAGGGGTCTGCAGACATGGGCTGTCTGTAATTCCCAACAGGATGAAGTCAATCTGGGTGTGATTTCCTCTCATGACCAGGTGGTCCCTGCTGAGGCAAAAGTAAGAGAAAAATCAAACTGATCAAAAATGGAGATTCAGATCTGGACCACATCTATCTCCAATCAATGACCACTATACCTGCCACACATCAGATTATTCTAATATATTTTCTAACCAAAATTATATGCATATATTAAGTTTTTCAGATGAGGTAATCAGAAAAGAACAGGTAGTTCATTGAAGCAGTAAATGGCATTTTTATTTTTCTATGCTGGGACAATTAACACTGGCTTTAGACAAGCAGGTGTGTTTTCAGGTTTCAGCAAAGGATCAGATCTTTATTCACTTTCAGTTTGAAGGAAATTTGTGTCAGAAGACACCTCAGAGGATCCTCATAGGATTGCACGTAAACGTGAAACAAGAGAATTTCTCAGTCTCAGTGAAAGCCCAGCTTACACATGCATGACTTCCAGACACTTTTCTTTGGCTTTTGATTGTCATTCCAGTCACCAAATCACATTTAACAAACTATTTGAGATCATTAACAACACATAACATTGACTTTGTTAAACTCAGTTTATACCTTCCTGAGCCCAGCATGATAAAGCATCCTAAACCTATGGGCATTTAGTTTCTGCCACAAAACAGTCATAACAAGATTATTCTACATATGTTGCATTTCTGTGTAACAGAAAAGATTCATCCTCATTTAACTCTTGATATCAATTATCTGTTTTTGCAAAAGAAACACAACCTGCATCAGGTTGCTCCAATTATTAAAAGAAAACCCACATTGGTAAGTTCACTTCTCCACAGCTTTACCACAGATAACACACAGGCATGCAGACACAAGCCCACTTAATGCAGGTGAGGCTTGCTTTCTGTGGGTGTTACCTCCTGTGACTTCCTTCTGCACCGAATTAAGGATTTATCTGGCTTTAGAGCATCACCTCTGCACCTGGTGAACACTCAGGTTTGGTGTTGCTAAATAGATCTATTCACTTTCAGTTTACCAGAAAAACAAAGGAAATTTGTGAAATCAGAAACACCTCAGAGGATCCTCATAGCCATTGAGCACAGCTACAATGCAGAATGAAGATAATTTCTCAGTCTCATGAAAGCCTGAACATATTACACATGCATGACTTCCAGACATTTTCCCCTGGCTTTAGTCATGAAGTCATTCCAGAGGCATGGTTGAAATTGGTCATTTTAACAAACTATTTGAGATCATTTCAACACCAGGGTAACATTCTGACTTTGTTAAAGATAAAGGAGACATGATTTATACCCATTTCACTGACAGCTGCCAGCATGCTAAAGCATCCTAAACCCTATGGGCATTAGGAGGCAGTTTTTCTTTAAAAAACAGTTAGCCTGTTTCTCCATAACAAGCTGATTCTAAAGGCTGATTTGTTAGTGATTCTCTGCTGACAGTCTGAACTGTTGCATTGCACACAGTCTGTGGGGTAACAGAATAAGAGGATCATCCTCATTTAACTCTTGAATAAATCAATGTATCTGGCTTTGCCTTAAATCAGAAACACCCCCAACCTTCTCTGCATGCAGCCCAACCTTTGCATTGCTCCCACCCAAGTGTAAGACCTTGCACTTATGGTTAAAAAGGTTGGCAACCCACCTCACATTGGTCAAGGTCCCTCTGGATGGCATTTTCCCTCCCAGATACAGCTTTCCCAAAGAGGACATGTGTGTCAGCGATATAGCTCACTGCTGAGGGACTCACTGCAGACATTGAGCCATGAGGCTTTCTGCTGCCATCATGGGAAGAGTACAGGGATGTTGTCCGAGAAGCTAGGGACCAGGTTAGGAAAGCTAAGGCCCAGTTAGAATTAAACTTGGCTAGGGATGTTAAAGATAACAGGAAGGGATTCAACAGGTACATAGCAAATAAAAAACAGATTAGGAGAATGTAGGCCCCCTCAGGAAGCTCTCAGGAGAACTGGATACACAGGATTTGGAGAAGGCTGAGGTACTGAATGACTTCTTTGCCTCGCTCTTCACTGGCAAAGGCTCTGACCACACCACCCAAGTCTTGGAAGGCAGATGCAGGGACTGTGAGAATGAAGCCCTTGCGCCCACTGTAGGAGAGGAACTGGTTCGAGACCATCTTAAAAATCTGAATGTGCACAAGTCCATGGGTCCTGATGAGATCCATCCGCGGGTCCTGAAGGAGTGGGCAAATGAAGTTGCGAAGCCGCTGGCCATCATATTTGAGAAATCCTGGCAGTCAGGTGAAGTTCCCGATGACTGGAAAAAGGGAAATATAACCCCCATTTTGAAGAAGGGGAAAATGGATGACCCGGGGAATTACAGAGCAGTCAGTCTCACCTCTGTGCCTGGCAAAATCTTGGAGCAGATTCTCCTGGCAGGCATGCTAAGGCACATGAAAATCAACAAGGTGCTTGGTGACAGCCAGCATGGCTTCACTAAGGGGAAATCCTGCCTGACCAATTTGGTGGCCTTCTATGATGGGGCTACAGAACTGATGGACAGGGGTAGAGCAGTTGATGTCATCTACCTGGACTTGTGCAAAGCATTCGACACTGTCCCACATGACATTGTTGTCTCTAAACTGGAGAGACATCAATTTGATGGATGGACCACTCGGTGGATAAAGAACTGGCTGGATGGCCGCATGGAAAGCGTTGTGGTCAATGGCTCAATGTCCGGCTGGAGACCAGTAACGAGTGGTGTCCCTCAGGGATCGGTGTTGGGACCGGTCTTGTTGAACATCTTCGTCGCTGACATGGACAGTGGGATTGGGTGCGCCCTCAGCAAGTTTGCCGATGACCCCAAGCTGTGTGGTTGGGTTGATACCCTGGAGGGAAGGAATGCCATCCAGAGGGACCTTGACACGCTTGTGAGGTGGGCTGATGCCAACCTCATGAGGTTTAACCATGCCAAGTGCAAGGTCTTACACTTGGGTGGGAGCAATCCCAGGCACAGCTGCAGGTTGGGCAGAGAAGAGATTCAGAGCAGCCCTGCAGAGAAGGACTTGGGGGTGTTGGCTGATGAGAAAATGAACATGAGGCGGCTTCAGTGTGTGCTTGCAGCCCAGAAAGCAACCGTATCCTGGGCTGCATCAAAAGGAGCGTGACCAGCAGGTCGAAGGAGGTGATCCTGCCCCTCTACTCTGCTCTTGTGAGACCCCACCTGGAGCACTGTGTGCAGTTCTGGTGTCCTCAACATAAAAAGGACATGGAACTGTTGGAACAAGTCCAGAGGAGGCCACGAGGATGATCAGGGACTGGAGCACCTCCTGTATGAAGACAGGCTGAGGAAGTTGGGGCTGTTCAGCCTGGAGAAGAGAAGGCTGCGTGGAGACTCTACTTTTCATCACTGAAAAACTGCCTCCTAATTTGCTCATGTAGGGACATGCTCTGGATGGAAAATGACTGTCAGAGCAGTGAGCACTGGCTGGGCTGTCAGGTGCAGAGGGTGATGGGTTCTACTCTGCAGGAGCCTGGGGACTGCCACAGGGGTTTGTCTCCTTTATCTGTCTAAACGGAACCAAAGGAGAACACCCTGGTGTGCAGGGACAATCCCACGGTACCTGAACAATAGAAGCACGGCAGGAACAGAGACATGGACCAATTTCAACCATCAGCAGCCTCAGAGGTGGAGTCACTTCTTCATGTCCCATTTGAGGACCGTGTGCAAGATCTGGAATGTCTCTAAACCCATTTTCATTGTGTCAATATGTTCAGACCAAAACATTTGCATGGTCCACAAGTATGTAGGAAGCATCCTATGAGCTACTCATTACTGCTGTTGTGCAGCTGTGCTCAGGCATGGCTCACCCACTCCATGTCTCTCAGATGCTCAAGCACCACAATGCCTTTCAGAGCTGATTTCATACTTTTTGCTTTTCCTTCTCTTTGTTTTCCTCTGGTAAAGCATGAGCAGCCCTGGAGGCTTCCTCCCAGGAGAGCACATGCAACTGTATTTACAGCCTAAGCACCACAAGCTGGGCTCTTGGAGTCTGGCAGGAGCTCAGCTCTCTTCACATCAGGTGCAACAGAGGTGATGCTGGCACGTAGATGTTCTCTGCTGCGTTGGGGATAAATCCTTGGCACCCATCACTCGGTGGCAGAAGGAAGTCACAGGAGGTAACACCCACACAAAGCAGAGCCTCACCTGCACTTAGGCAGTGGGCTTGTGTCTGCATGTCCTTGTGTAATCTGTGGTAAAGCTGTGTCAGAAAGCAACCTTACCAATGTGGGTTTTCTTTATAATAATATGGAGCAACGTCTGATGCAGGTTGTGTTTCTTTTGCAAAGGCAGCTTAAGCCAGATACATTGATTTATTCAAGAGTTAAATGAGGATGAATCTTATTCTGTTATACAGAAATGCAACAGTTCAGACTGTCAGCAGAATATAGTCACTAACAAATCAGCCTTTAGAATCAGCTTGTTATAACAGCAACTGTTTTTTAAAGCAAGAAACTGAATGCCCATAGGTTTAGGATGCTTTATCATGCTGGAGCTCAGGAAGGTATAAATCATGAGTTTAACAAAGTCAATGTTATGTGTTGTTAATGATCTCAAATAGTTTGTTAAATGTGATTTGGTGACTGGAATGACAATCAAAAGCCAAAGAAAAGTGTCTGGAAGTCATGCATGTGTAAGCTGGGCTTTCACTGAGACTGAGAAATTCTCTTGCTTCACGTTTACGTGCAATCCTATGAGGATCCTCTGAGGTGTCTTCTGACACAAATTTCCTTCAAACTGAAAGTGAATAAAGATCTGATCCTTTGCTGAAACCTGAAAACACACCTGCTTGACTAAAGCCAGTGTTAATTGTCCCAGCATAGAAAAATAAAAATGCCATTTA